CGGAGGGGACGCGCGCACCCCAGAACGGCTGCCCCGTGAGACAGGGTCTGGGGGTGTGGAAGCTTGCGCAGCCTCCAGGGCTTTCCCTGTGCACCGTCGGAGATGCCGATTTTGCTCCACTCGGAGGACAAAGTTTTCGGTTTTCCTCTCCTGGCAGATTTTTAGGAATCCATGGGCGCCTAAACACGTGCTCCCTATAGCCATTAACAAGATCCCGAATCCAGCACTGGTACCTACTTTTAGACTGAAGGAGATGCAGAGGCCTTAAGGGTTAATGGCGCTAAATGTGTTGGTTTTCCTGCTTTTTCCTTGGGGTAGGTAATGGGGGAAGAAGTTTTCTCTCTCTCTCTCTCTCTCTCTCTCTCTCTCTCTCTCTCTCTCTCTCTCTCCTTAAAGCCTTGCAGCAAACCCCTTCATTCCTCAATCTCCAGTTCTGAGTCCCAGAAGAGCCCCTCAGGGACCCTAGGCACTAAGGTCCTGTGTGCTGGGGCACCTCCTTGTTCCCAGGCTTGCCTGGGGTTCCACCATCCAGGTCAATAGATAGGCAGCACAGCCTGGCCCTGGCTGCCCACCCACTGCTCTAAACCTGGGCTCCCAAATTGCACTCCCATGCCCACCCAAGTAGCACCAACTGTGTTAACTTAGTGGGCAAATGAGCAGCTCACCGAGTCTTCCTAGGAGCAACCTGCAGAGACAGCTAGAAGAGGGTGGGCAGTTTTGTTCAAATGACCAGCAGTGCTGGCTGGTGGGCTTTGAGGAACCTAAGGACTGACCAGAGAAAGATGATGCTCTTTGGGAGAACAGAGGGAGGTGCCATCTGGAAGAGCAAGAGTCCTGGGGAAGCAACCCTGGGGTTTTGGGGAGATTATGAGCTGTACGCCATGCTAGGCCCTGTCAGGACCATGCAGAACCCACCTCTCCTCTTGAGCTGTGCTTGTAGTGGGAGCCCCACCCTTCTCTCCTGTCTGGAGGACCAGGGCCTATATGCAAGGAAATTCCAGATCCTACTGCATCTCCTATAATATGCTCAATATGCTGCAAATTAAAAATCAGTGAGGGGAAAAAAATCAAGTAAACAACAAAAAAATTAATATAAAACAGAAGGTTTCTTTGGAGCTAGGGTTTGATGGGAAAGGGGCACAACAAAGGTCCTAAGTCCAGCCTTCTGCTCTCTACACCATATTTTGGTTTCCAATAATGCGGACATGGTACATTTTGCTCAATTTTCCACTCCTAATCACTTTTAGAGCGTCGTCCTGGAGAAGCCACTTTGATTCTCCTGAATGGATTTTGGAGTTGGAATTCACTTAATTAAGTATTGCTCCTTTCCCCGCCTGACTCAGACCTGGAACCTGCCAGTCCTGCTCCCTTAGGGCACCGGGTCTTTCTGGGAACTGGAAATAAGCTCTGTCCCTTGCATCCAGCCCATCACCAAAGAGCTCAGTGCCTGGGCCTGCAGTCCAGGGCTCAACTGGAGTGGGACACAGGGAGAAACTTCAGGGCCTCAAGGCCTCTGTGGGGACCTGGGAGAAAGAGTGGTAAGTGCAAGTGTCAGAGACAAAGAGATGGACAGAGGGACAGAGACACAAAGAGACATAGAACTTAATGATTATATTGGATTCACACTCAGAAAGGGGAGATGGAGTGAGGTATCAGGTCACAAAAGTTCTGGCTATGAATATAGAGCCCAAATACCAAAGGGAAGCCATTAATAAAAGCTGTTTGCAAGGAACCTCTTGGCTTCATTATAAATTGAAACAGGAGCTTTCAGAAAAGTGGGGTTTCTGAAGCTGGATTTAGGGTCCATGGCAAATCTGTGTGTGTGTAGGGGGGGTGGGAGGTCATGCCTGTGGCCACTGTCTGAATAAATTAGGCTTTGCTTGTTGGGAGCTCTCCTGAGCTGAGGGCTAGCCTGCTCTCTGCCCCCTACAACTTGGTGGGGTGAGCACTCTGACAAGATCTCTTGATCCCTTTTCTCCCTCCCCCCAGAGCTCCCTGCTTGCTGAGGAATGACTGCCCTTGCAGAATGTACTCTGCCTGGCCAGCTTTATTACATGGCCACCATCAATCTTGCCCCTAAAGTGACATTTGTTTATGACTGGGTGGGAAGGGCTAATGGCTTCATGAACCAGCTCTGAAATGAGTCTAGAGGAGTCTAAAGAGAACACCCTGCGACACCAGACAGGATCCAGTGGTGGGAATTGGTCTCAGACGGAAATGGGATCCCTCCCCAGGAACTCCAAGATGTGGTGTGGAGGTAGAAAGCAACTGTCACTTCAACCAGCCTTGCTTCAGGTGCCACTAACAGTGAGGGAGACCACTGGTATCCAAAGCCTGGAGCCCCTGTGCAGGCCTCTGGGCCCTCTTGGACCGTCTGTCCAAGCAGCCTGAACCAGTAGAGAGGTCAGGACCTCTGTGGGGTTTTGCACCATTAAGAACAAAACAAATGGTCTTCCACCTTAAAAACTGACGCTCCTCTCTGGGGAGCTGAGTGGGAGAGAAAAAGTCTTATGTCCCTTCTTTACCTATCAAAGTTCAGGGGAGCCCAGCAGGGCTATAAGGCATTCTTATTTCCTGACCCCTGTTTCTGACCCCACAGGAAACAGCCAAGAGCTTATGGGCCATCAGCACAATTGAGCTTTATTCCTCTGCAAACATTGATTATTAATGACACAAACTGTGTGGAATGATAAATAGTAAAATGCATGCTTGTTTGCATGCAATCTGATGAAGAAAGGACGGCTAACTACACAACTTTGGAAACAGCAAGCATTTCTACCAGACGTGCAAATGCCAAATGCAAGCTTTCAGATGCACATACCATGCTGGCATTTGCCAAGAAAATAAATGTGTCCAGTGCTATATAAGTGACAAAATGCTATCCTAAAGCCATCTACAGAGGCTAATTTTGAAATTAGCCAAGTCCCCATTGTTGGGTCCTGTTCATTCCGTGTTGCCAGCTAATTTCAAAATGTACTATTTGTTAGTTTAAATATCAAGGAGTTTTCTTCTAATACTTTACAGGAAAAAAATCCTTATTGCTGAAAAAGTACAGATCAAATGTGCAAACCACTAAGGAATTAGTAGTTCTTCCAGATTAAATAAGGCTGGCAGGAGTTGGTTTTTCTTAAATGAGACATAAGAATTCAAGTGCAAATAAAGTGATAGAAGAAACCATTACATTGTGGTTTCAAAAGTCAGAATAATGAGTAGAACGTTTGACCTTCCACTCAAACATAGCAATTCCTGTAGAAATAACTACCTTTGCTATATAGGTGTGACACAAACACCTTCCTGGACACGTATGTCTTCATGCCTAATTTTCAAACGCTGGAAACCAAAAGGGCAAAACTGATTGTTAAGAAGCCTTCCCCATGCAAGGACTTAAACGCTGCCCAGGGGCTCCTCTTGGTCCACTAATGCCAGAATACTCCTACCGGTTCCCTCTCCAGCCACAGGGACTGGAGACCCAGAAAGGAGGAGCAAGGGGCGCCCGAAGCCCACTCCACATCCTGGCGGAACCAGGAAGAACTCACCCAGCGCTCCCACTCCAGCTCAGGCCACCAGCGCTCCCTGGGGCGCCAGGGCCGACCTTTCCCTGCGCGCCCGCTTCTGTGTCCCGTGACCCCTGGCTCTGGGCAGCAGGGTCAGGCTGGATCTAGGCCCCGGGCTGACTGCAGCCGCGATGCCCTGGGGCCACAAACCCCAGGTCGCGGCTGCAGAGGGTCGCGGGCACTCGGAACCCGGGGCCCGCTTGCAAGCCTCTCATCCTTTCGGCTAAGCGACTCCCTCGCCTGCCACAGCGAAGTGATTTGGGGCCTCCGTCAACTGCCTTCACACTCCGAGGGGACGCAGCCCTGCCGGGGAGGCTCGCCTGGAGCCCCAGCGCTGAATCCGGCAGGTCGGCGCGTCCAGGCCGAGGGGCCGGGGCCGGGGTCCTCCTGCAAACCTGTGGCTGCCCAGGTTGCGGGCTGGCGCGGGGTGCCCTGTCTCGGGGGAGCCACGGAGTGCCTGTGACCTTCCCACCCTGGATGAGCTCCCAAACACACGTGTGTCTTCAAAACAAAGGCGGCGAGCAGTGTGCACGGGAAGCGCTGTGTCCGGGTGGCGAGAGGGTGAGGAGCAGAACCCGCTGCCTTCCCGCGGCTCCCCAGCCGGGCGACGGACGAGGGCCGTGCGCTCCACACACACCCCTGCCCGGTGCCACCGTCCCCCAGCGTGGTCTTCCCGGCACCCACGCTCCCACCCGTCCACCCAGCCGAGGACTTCGTGGGCTCTATTTTCTCCCCAAACAGCAGGTTTCAGGAGGAGGCAGTGAGGAGCCAGGGAAGGGGCGGGGCGGGGGCGAGGTGGGGAGAGGAAGGAGCTCCAAACACAAACAAGCGGGCCCGGGCCGCGGCGGGTAATTACACTAATTAGCCGAAGGGCCTGCAGTGGGGAGCGGCGTCCGGAGGCCGGCGTCAGGCCGCGAGAGACGCCCCTCGGAGAGCCCGCGGAGAGCCGCAGGCCTCCACTCGCCGTCCCCCTGTTCCAAAAAGTTGAACCAGGCATGTCGGAGAAGGAACCGACTCCGGCTGTTAGAACTGCCCGGGCTGGGGATGGGTCACCCGGTCATAAGGGACGGGTGACCGTTCGGTCACCTGCTGCCGCTTTCCTTCCGGGCCTGGACAACCCAGCTCCGGCCACCAGACCCTTTGTCCTCAAACCCCGGCTCCACGCTCGGCTCGCAAAAGTGGACCAACGCACAAACTCTACGAGCTTTGTCAATGGGTTCTTTCCCTTCACCATCCAGCAAAGCGGGGGTACCCGAGGGAGCTCGTGGCAGCCCTAGGACCTAGCGCTGCGCCGGCCGCGCGTAGGTTCACAAACAGCGGCGGGGCCAGTCCCAGCCAACCTGACCGAGGAGACACCGTGCCCTGCGCCACAGCAACCTTCCCTGGCTATTAAGTTACGGCTCTGAGCAAAAAAGACCCGAGTAAATCAGAGGCCACGTAAAGCACTTTTTGACTGAAATTAGAGTGTTTTTATTTGCAGCAATCCTTTAACAATGATCAAATTTTGACAACAAGCAACAGCAATTACTGCTAAGTGTTGCCTCTAGATAGGAGCGGCAGATAGCAGGAAACTGTATTATCTCGAAAACAAACTGAAAGGCCCTGAATGTCTGTAATCAAATCACCATCTCCCTAAAGTCTGATTGACAGGGCTGATCACCCTGAGATAATGAATTTATTACATTTCCTGGGTTATTTACAAAGGGGGAGGGCCAATCCGATCGCCCCCTATGTTTAGCTGTAAATTAGCAAGAAAAATTGGATTGAAAAAAAACAACACCCTAGACTAAAATACTCTGCCCCTCTCTCCTTTCTTGTTATTGCTTTAAAACTTTTTCAAAAAAATAATTGCTCTACAAACATATCTTCTAAAATAGTTTCCCAAAGATTAAATTCCCCTTTCCAACACACAGTACATTTTAAAAAGACTAATCCTTCTTCATAACACATGGAGGATTGTAAATGTGGATGTCTTATATACATACATTTAAAAATGGTTTATTTTTCCTCTAATAAATGAGTGAAAAAATAGGAAAAAAATCTATCCTGCATTTGGTTCACAGGGATGTATAATATACATCCTAATTTTTTATGTGCTACCCAAGCCAAATATGTATGTGTCTATCCAGAGGCACATTCACCTCTCTGGACACACAGGTATCACTGTGGTAAAGACTGCTGATTCATGGGCATACAATTTCCAAATCATGTTCTGTCATTACTGAGAAAATGTATTTGTGCATACGCCAACTCAGATCTATTTAGAAAAATATGTTTTAAGTAGCCACAAAGCAAGCTAACGATATAGAACATTTTGCAGATGCTGTAGGGGAAAAGTAAACCAAAAGAGACTTCTATGTGAAATTTGATAGGAAATAGTGTTTCTCCATTTTTCAGAGATTTAGGAGGAGAAAGGTAATTCCTAGTGTTTTAAGCTCTGAAATATTTTTCTTATAATAATTAAGGCTGTATTAAAATATCCAGACATATAGGTATCATTCAAACTGAATGGCAATTTATTAATAAACAAACAATGAATATGTTCAACAAAAAGAAAGAAAAAGATGATAGAATAAGATTAATACAGTTTCCCTTTTTATAATGAAAAAAAGGCACAATGTAAGTTTCAGGAAATTTAACGTCAGGTTTTGGAAACACTTTCTGGCGTTTGGTCCACGACATCCAACTACAAATTAAAAATAAATTACTATGTTGAAATTTACATTTAAAAACAAGTCCATGAATAAAAAGAAAGCGATTTTCATATACGGGGACTTTTCCCCTCCTTTCAACATAGGATAAAATAATATCTTACAGGTGAGAGGTGAGGGAAGGAAAAGGGCAAGGGCATGGGAGAGAGGAGGAAAAGGAAAGCGTGCTCTCTTAAAAGCAAGAAGAAACTTACGTGTTATCTGCAGTAACACTGTCCTTTAATAAACCATGATTTTGCTGTCTCTGTGTAAAATGGTTTATGGTTTTTTTTATTTAGATAAGGCAAAGTGGAGGTGGCTCTCAATTAATCTTTTAAGAAAATAGTTTTTTGTGTGCTGGTGAGTTGAACTTTTGGAGGGATTCTGTTCGCTGGTTTGGTGAATATTTTTCAAGATTTTTTAAATTGGATTTTTTTTTGGTTTCGATTTTGCATTGATGGTTCTTTTGGTTGTTCCTGCGCTGGGGTTCGATTCAGTTCGGCTTTGAGGAGATGGGGGTGTCAAAACTTGCTACAGTCATAGACGAAAGCCCCGGATGTGCGGTACAGAGACTGGCTGGAAGGGAAGGCCATCTGACAGCTACTGTTCCCATTCACTGGAGAATTGTTCAAGCCGATCCTCTGCGACTCGAACATCTCCCGCACCGAGTGGAAGTTCTGCTGCTGGCTGGGGTAGCCCGCCGCCGCCGCCGCCGCCGCGCTGGCCAGGTGGCCCAGGTCTCCGCCAGCCTGGTTCAGGTACCACGAGGTGAGGCGGCCTTGGTGGGCTGCAGCGTGGTGGCCGGCCTCCTGACCGCTGCCGTGACTCAGGGAGGAGGCGCTGCTGCTAGTGACCGGGGGCAGAGAGTAGTCGGGCAGGGGGTCGTCCACGGCTGATCCGCCGGCGCCCCCAGGCGCGCCCTGCAAGTGGCCACCACGCTCCCCGGCCGCATACAGGCTCATGGCCTGCAGGTTGCAGTGGTAGGTCCCGGCGCCCCCTGCGCTGCCACCCCCACCGCCGCCGCCCCCGCCCGAGCTCCCGGCGCTGGAGCTCTGGCTGCAGGGGGAGCTGTAGAGGGAGCTCTGGCCCGGCGAGTAGGCGCCCAGCGCCAGCGGGGGTGCGATGCCCGTGCGCGAGGACCCGGCCGCCGACGCCAGGAGGCCCGAGCCGAGCTCCGCGGGCCGCGCCCTGCGGGCGATCCCCGCAGCGAAGTCATGATGTTGTCCACGCTGAAGCCCTGGCTGTGGTGCGGCGCCGGCCCGGGCTGCGCGGCGTAGGCTGTGGCCCGGGCTCCGCCCCCATCCAAAGCTCAAAGGCCGAGTGACGGGCAGGCTGCCCGGGGAACTGCTTCCCCGCTGGAAAAGCTGTTGCTGCTGCTGTGGGGGCTTTTC